GCATCTACAGACATCACTTCGTATATCCACAGTAACTCAGCTGGAATAATTCTGACAATTAGCACAGACATTCTGTCTGGCTGCCCCACAAGTAAAGTCTTTTACGTCTACATAGCTGCTGTCTTTTGGCATTTCTAGCTCTTTGCAGTAACGTGTTTTCTGCTCTGCTCCACATCCCATAGCATATTGCTCTGCTGCAGCACTCTGGGATCTTTTGCAGAAAGCAGTGAGGTCCAGTGGCCTGGTGCAAACCAAATCATTCCCCTGATTTCTCTTGCCAGGTTCTATTTATCCACCAGTGTTTGTGAGCTAGACCTTACTATGTTCCAAGCACTGTCAGCAGCTGGCAAGAAACACTGGCAATCAGAGCAATCCCCACAGCTCTGTTTTCAGCAGGCTCTTTGGATTGCTGCCTTTAAGTCATGCAGTGACTTCAGAATGAGTGCAATGGGGCATCTGAAAAGGAGAAAGTTGAAATCCAGCAGATGTTTCTTGCTGATCTCTTCCTGAAGCAGCAGACTGCTGGGACTAAGCCAGCACTGCAGACCTGGGAAAACCAGCAGTGTGTGTGTGCCACTTTTGAATGTCCAAGGCTGCTTTCCTTCCATGAGGAACATCCTACAGCTGCAGAGCCCTTTCCTGTGGACCCTCTGTGCTCATTCTGGGATGTGTCATTCTGAGATGCACCTTTGGCTTTTTGCTTCCTTGCCCAGCAAGATTTTACATGCTGCTTGGATGAGAGAAAGACCTTCCCACCCTGCCCTTAGCAGTTCTAGAATGGCAATGAAATCTGCACGTGGATGACTGAAAGACAGATGGAGAGGCTGGCTGTGCATGAGAAGTAACTGCCCCTTCCACAAGGTACAATAAGCAGCTACCAAAGTATTTCTAGTATGAGGCTGGAGTGTTGCAGGTGGGCTGAAGAAGAAAGCAAGCAGAGATGATGGATGCTTTGAGCCTCCTTGACACAGATGCATCCCTGGGATGTGCAGCCATTCAGAAGCTGAGGAATGCATTTCCCTCCTCGAGGCTAGAGGCCAGTTGACAACAACACTGGCATGTTTGTGAGAGGCTTTCATCACAATTGCTGCAAGTTTTAATGCACACATGACATCTGTGGATTTTTTTCCATGCTTCATACATGTATTTTACTGTTGGAGAGGAAGGAAATCTTGGTATTTTGAATTAATTAAAAATGTACAGATATATTTGTTTTCATGATAAGACAGGGACTTGAACACATACAAGACTCAAAAGCATGAATGGAGGGCACACACAAAAAAGGGAATGATTAATTGGAGTGCATTTAAAAATAGTAACTGTACGTAATGCTGTGCAAAGCTAAAATCTATTTTAAACTGTTTATATAGAACGGAAGCGTATGTTCTCAAGGTCTCCAGTTTGTCTATGTGGGTTGGTCAAAAAAGTTGTGACATGCTGAGAAAGGCATTTGCACATTGTTGTTTTTAGCAAAACTCACTTCCAACAAAATGGATTTAAAAGAGGAGAGACTGCAAAATACTTAAAGATCACAAGACAATCTTTGCCTATGCTCTCCAGGAGATGTATATGCCTTGCCAGCCTTTCAGGAACTTCATCTCCATGCTTCTGACTGCCTCCGTCTCTGTCACTCTTCATGAGCCTTCTCCTCAAACCCTCACATTTTTTGTCTCTCAGAGGATGTGGGCAGCCTCATGTTGAATCCTCCCTTGTACATTTTTTAACTCTTCCAGAGGAGAGGAATGCTCACTGAAGTATCTCTCTCCATGCTTGCTGGAAAGGGTCAGGAGTTATGAGAGGAAAAAAACCTCAAACCCAGAGAGACAGGACAATTAGTGTAATCTCTGTGCCAGCAAAAGCAAACCAGCACGCCACCACAATCTACCACTGACTTTGAGACACTCTTCCTTAGGTTTGTCTTAATTTAAGGTTTGGTGGCAAAAGTATTTCTGCAGGCTGCCTTGTTGCACAAGAGCCTGAGCTCATGGTAGAGGTGAGGTAGAAGTGACAATTATATCAAAGTTTAGAGAAGGCTAACAAATGGATGGGCACCTGGCATGCTGCCAGCTCGCTGGGCGTGTGGGAGAAGGGAGCACTGTCCTCTTGTCTATGTGCTTCTGGAGTCTACTGATGGGAGCAGTAGTACAGTGAGGAACACAGGGAGGCTGGCAATCACTTGAGGTTGTCCCTGTTCTGGAGGATGCCACCCATCAGGTGTCCCTGAAATAAACAGGCTGTTCAGAAAAGCAGCAGGCAAACCAGGAAAAGATGCTGTACTGCTGCTAATGGGGCCAGTCCTTCAAAGCTACCATGGAATTGGAAGGGTACCACAAGCCTGAGGTACCCTGCCAAGACAACTGCATTGCTGTGCCAGTTTCATTCCAAAACATAGCATAGTCTTTTGGCTTTCCTTCTCATTTTGTTCACTCTTCCTTTCTCTTCCCTTCTTTTTCCATTTTTAAACCTTGTGGATCAGCATACTGTACACTGTGGGGACACCTAGTTCTACAGTAACCTGCAGAAAGAGGCACATCATCACGTTTAAAATATTTCTTTTTGCAGTATGTATGTATTGTGATTTGGTATCATCTCATACCAGTGCAGAGCTGTGAATCTATTGAGTCTGTGAAACAAATATATCACTTAAGATCTCTGGGTTTTTTTGTATTTGCCACAACAGCAATACTGGGCAAGCCCATGAGGTGCCCACAACCCGGCTGTGGAAAAGTAGCACACAGCAGTCAGGGTCAGTGGAGGGACAGCAGTTAATGCTGTGTCAGGGAGGCATGAACTGGATGTATGAAAGCTGGAGCTGTGGCTGTGACAAATGCCTTTACAAGGAAAAGAACTGTATGTTAACACATGGGGAACGAGGAGGTGAAAGTCCACAAGGCACAGAAAGGGCAAATAAACAAAACGCTACCTTGTCAGGCCCCTGAGCTAGGATAGGCACTGCTGCATGATGTTTTCTGTCAAACAGTACTAACTACCAGGATTCCAGCCTGGCTGGGGTTCTGCCTGCAACTATGACATCCCATCTGTGATATTCAGTGATGCTGACTCTGGCCTACCATCACATCAGCCTTGAATATCCTTTCAAAGGATGTTGGCTTCAAAGCCTGGGTCTTACAGCCTTCCACTGCAGAGACAATCTCTGTTGTTCTATGTTTGTATCAACATTGGTCCACATCCACAAAATCTAGTGAGAAGATTGCTATCACTTGAGGGCCCAGGGCACGACTCCTTCCCTTCCTTTCACTTCTTCAGACGTGATGAGGGGTCATGGTGGGGCACCAAATAAAAACACTCCGTAGGCAGGCACATGGTACCAGCATGTTACTCCCTGCGAGTGAGTGGCCAAGGGCAGCCCTCGGCCACAAGCCAGCATTTAGCCAGTGAGGTGATGTGTGATTAATGTGACATTGGGTCAATAGTGAGCGCACAAGCAAACGAGCAGGAAAAAGACACCACAGTAAGTGTGGTAGAGAAGGGCAGTGGGAGGACCTGGCAGATGCACAGGGACTGATTCAGAAGGGAGATGCAGCCCCACCTATGTCGTTGTGAGCAAGCTTGCCCTGCACCTCACAGCAATTACTTTCAAAACGGGTTTAATAACACATGTCAAAATGTCAGCTGGTTCCCAGCAGGGAACTGTGCTGGGGACACCAGTCACACATTATAAGGCGAGACACCTCAAACTGACCTGCAACAAAATCCAAGGGTCAAGAAGTCGCTGTTGAGCAGAAGAGATATTTTGATCTAATGACAGAAATTGCACCTGTGTGCAGGCAAGAAAATGATGAGGGGCTGGAATCCAAACAGACATGAAATAAGCATGAGAATAACAAACAATCAAGACTGTCCAAAAAAACACAACCAAAATCTAAGAAATAATCCTGCCTTACAGCATTGCTTCTGCCAGTTGCCTTTGCTGCTTTTCTCCTCAGTAGACTGGCATTTTGCTTTTTTTTGATCACATTGTTCACCACATTCATCCTTGGGCTTAAACTGGAGCCTTGTTTCTCAGCAAGAAGATATTTTTTTTAATTTGAACTATTTTTAGGGGCTTCATAAGAGCTACAATGCCTCATCCATATCCCTAAGAATCTGTATTTTCTAAGTGTATGATGCTGCTACAGATTTCAGTGAATTGTAACCGCTGAAACATTTTCGTAAGGCTTGGCTTGGGGATAATAAACTCCTTGCATTCGGCCTACCCTTAACTACCAAGAGGTATTCTTGATTTTCATTCTATTTTAATGCAGAATACTGTGGGGTTTATGAGATTTGAATTTTAGAATTTATGTTAAATTAGAAAACAATTAACAAAAAGCACACAGAAAAGCACTGCAGTGTATTGCTAGTAATTTTAAGACATTTCAGTCTGTTCAGACTGAACATTTCAGTCTAAAGCTTGCATTTTTTTTATGTTTTAGTTTCTATTTATACTTTCCTTCATACACTCTGGCTTGGTTCACCTCATTTGGGAGCAGCACAAAGCAGAGGAAGTCCGTAAGTCAGATAAACTGCAATTACCACAGGCTCATTTTGCCAGAGTTATGCAAAGCATCCAGTGCACAGACCGGCCTGGTCTCTCCAACAGCTCACCACATCTTCCCTGTGCCTCTCTGCTAACCTGCACACATGGATGGAAATATCCCCTATAGTGTGACAAGTAAGTTTCATGCATTGAATAAATTTTGAAAAATTATCTAGAGTGAATGGGAAGTTTTCCTTACTATCTTTATAGTAGAAGTCTCAGCTATGGGGACTCGTATTCTTACAAAACCCCTGGGTTTTTGTTTCCTAACAGTCTCTTTGGAGCCATCTAAATTGCAGGGCCATGATTTAGGCAATACAGGGACCAACGCTGTGACCAGATTCTACAGCATAAAGAGACAGAAGACAGAGCAGCCAGAGGGACAGCTGCAGTCCCCTGTCCTGCAAGGAGATCCTCTGTTATTCCAAAAGCGGAAGAAGGTTTCAAGACCAGACAGAGCTCAGTGTGCACTCAGGCAATCTACTTTATTCGAGATTCTTGTCCAGCCAGATGTATAGCAGTGCTGTAGTACAGGGACACTACCCTTGAAAGCCATCTCCAGTTCCGCATCTGATGCCAGCAGTCTTCCAAAAATAGCATCATGCAGGAAAGAAGCTACTTTTTCTCTTGGCAATCTTCTCCCTGGTGAAAGAGAAACTTCATTCTGAAAGCCACCTGCTTGCAAGCAGAGGACACAAAATGCCTCCCTCTCCACACCACCCTACAAGCAGATGCACACGTGCACTTTGTGGGTTTTTTATAGTTGCCTATTTCCATAAAGTTCAGAACCTATTGACAAGATATTTTAATGCAGTGTGGATTGAACTGCCCAGGTATAAGCATTTTCAGTGCTATCAGTTTAACACAGAAGGCATAGCTGCAAACAGGAATGTTAGGAAAATAGGGTTTTTTAGAGCAGTGTTAGGAAATCCATTTTTTAACACAGGCTTATATTTGACTGTTGTAGATGTCACATCTAGACCTACTTCCAGTGACTTAAGTGTCAGAAAACTGCTACATGGCTCCCCTGTAACTGTTATCCAGCTCTGAGCATGACTCATAATGATGTCCCAAAACATTCACTCTACTGCTTTAGGGATTTTTTTTATTGCATTTTCCTCTGTCAGATTAGAACATTACTATCATCCACCCTAAGCCCTGTAAAACACCAAGCCAACACCTCATAATTCCTCTAGTAAGCATATTATGTTTGTTTTTCCCAAAACATAATTGTTCAAGATGTCAGGCTAATTTTGAAGTTCCAATTGTTCCATGAGTAGCAGAACATTAATCAGAGATGCTGCCTCTATTTCATTTTTACAGATATTAAGCCTTCCTCTGGGATATATGAAGATGTCAATAGAAAATAAAGAGCTCCTTTACCCTTCCTTACAGGGCCTGCCTACATCTCTATTCATGCAAGCTAATACCTTTCAAATCACTTGCGCTGTGGACACAGCCTGTAAACTTCCTCTGTGGTCCTTGCCAGAAGCATCCAAAACACATCTCCATTTTCAACTTGGGGAAAATTCTGCTTTTCATCTCAGGCCATTTCCTTCTGCTTTCAACTCATTTAAACCTTCAAGCCTATGCACAGGCCTTCTGTATGAACCGCAGCCAGAACAGGATCTCATCCTCTCTGGCATCCCTGCCTGCCCTCATCTCCAGTTCCTCCCCTACTGCCTCTCCTGAGCCACTTATCTGGATCGCTCTGAAGAGGAACAGCACTATTTTTAGGCTGCGCCTGTGCTCTAACTAAGCACAGAGGAATGTGGCTGGGAGCCGGGCCTGCCGGGAGCGGCCGTGCTCCGAGGGCGGGCAGTACCGCATCCCGCGGGCCCGGGGCTCGGCTCAGGTAGCTCCCGGGGACACCACCGGGGCTGCGCTCCGGGGCAGCGGGCGGGCAGGGCAGGCCAGGGCTGTCTGCCCTGGCTGATCTCCGCTAGAGCGATCGCTGTCCCTGTGCGCCCCACCACAGACCCCTCCCAGCGCGGAGCTCCGGCCGCCCTGCCCGCCCCAGCGGGCCTCCTCGGGCTCAAAGCAGCAGGGTCCCGAGGCCAGGCCTGGCAGCCCCGGCCACCCAACCCGGCCGCGGCGGGGATATCCCCTCCGGACTCGCCGCCGCCGCCGGGACTCGAACCCGTGACCCCGGTCCTGCCGCGCCCCGCGGGCCGCGCTCCCGGCACCTCCCGCCCCGCGGTGTTATGTAACGCGCGCGCGCCGCCATTGGCCGGCGCGGGTCGGGTCGCGCGAGGCGGGGGTGGGGCCGCGCGTGCGCAGAGCGGCGCCGCTGCCTCCGCCTCCTCCTCCTCGCCGTTCTCCTCCCGAGCAGCAGCGGCGGCGGCGGCGCGGCCGGAGCTCCCACAGCCGCTGCCAGGGCCGCCCAGCCCGCATCCCGCTCTGGTGAGCAGCGGGGGCAGCGGGACGGGACGGGGCGGGGGGAGCGGGCCCGGCCCGGGGGAAGGGGGCGGTCCGGGAGAAGGGAACGGCCCGGTCGCGGGGCACGCTCCGCTTCGGGCCCGCTGCCCGCCGGGGCTGCTCGGCCGCGGCCTCCGTCCGTCTGTCCATCCGTCCGTCCGTCCGTCCTGCCGCGGCCGCTCCCCTCCCGTGGGGCGCGTGGCGGGGCCGCGGCCGCCTGTGCCCCGCCTGTGCTCCGCCGGACCCGCCCCGGGGCCGCGGCCGCCCCCGGTCCCCGCGCGGCGCAGGCCGGGCCGGGCCGTCCCTGGCGGAGGGGCCGCCGAGCCCCGCGGGAGCACCGGGGAGGCCTCAGGCGGGGCCTCCCGCCGCTGTTCGTCTCTGAAGTGACAGCGGAAGCAGCTGTCGGTGTCCGGTTTTAGGACGTGAACTCGGCTCGGGCTCTGGTTACTTACAGGGAGATGGCCCGGTGAGTGAGGCACTGCCGTGCTGCGGGTTCCAGTCGCGGTGCCCGCGCTGCTGCTGCTGCTGTGACTTGGCAGCAAAAAATCCTGTAACGATTTGGCATAGTTTTTTGGTTTTTTTTAATCCATGTATTCGGTGTCCTACGTGCTCACGCGTTCTTTATTTGGAGGCAGCAGGCCAGTCTGCTAGACTCTGTGAGGTTTGCCTGATAAGGAAAACAACACTTACCTGCGTTGAGCAATTGACATACTGATTTAGCTTTGTTGATGAGCTCATCGTTCTTTTAAACGAGTTTTGAGATTGTTTTTTGTCACTTTTTAGAGTAATGATAATCTAAATCTTAATTTTCTTAGTGTTTCAGGAACACTCTCGGTCAGCTGTATTAATGTGACTTTCAGTATTTAAACTCTTGGATTTTTGGTCTTGGGCATAGTATGGTGGTTGTGATACTTTTGAGCAGATGTTTTTGGTCATATTTTCTTGTCTGTAACTTAATTAAAACCAGCAGTTGCCAAGTACATACAAAAGCTCAGTGTGGTTGGCTGTTGTAATGTAATGTACTGCTTATCAAGGCACTAAAATACAAAGTAATATGCAAATACTTTGTGAAAAGAATTATTTTTTGTTACATCTGACTGTTTTCTGTTGAGAGCCCCCTCGACTTCTGTAGGATTGCTGTAATGTGGGTGAAATAGAAGCGAAATAAACCTACGGTTGCTTCCAGTGTATGCAAAGCTATTGCCAATATCTAATTTTTTTGCCCTTATTTTAAAATTTTAAATGGGAATCCAGTGTTCTGGTTGAGCCATGCTGTATATAAACAGTGTGAGGCCCTGGCCAGGGTGTTCTGGAGTAGCTGTAGCATACAGTGAAACATAGACTGGTATTTTTAGTCTTACTAACATTCAATGGTATATCTTATGGAAACTGTTGAACGGCACATATATTTCTAGGTACTTGTTAATGGAATTTGTTTTGTGTTCAGTTTTGTTGGCCATATGGACTTCTAAATTCTCTTTTAGAGAAACTGAAGGGGAGCAAATGCTGAAGATGCGCTGTAGTGCTTCTGCAGAGGGTTACGTGGTGGTGTTTGATGCAGCGAAAGAAGCGAGCTGTGGCCCCAGAGGTGCCTGTCAGTCCACAGGAGCTTTTCTGGGTCTCAGGACCATAGTTTTACTGTTAGGCACTGTGATGTTCCATGTCCAGAAATTCTCACAATACTAGTGTTTCTTATAGACTCCATTTTCATAATGGTTTTATGGGCTTCTCACATGTATTTACTGTAGGTCAGTCACTGTTTGGATAGGCCTTTCTCTCTCAGGCGGAGGCCGCCTGCCCTGATGGGAAGCACCCCATGACAGGCCTGGTGTGGTCTGTCCCACAACTGCCAAACTTGGAGCAAGTGCCCAGGTCGTGGAGGAGCAGTGGCCAAGCAGCTATCCTCCTGGGAGCGCTGGACTTTGCTAGTTGTCCTGAGAACAATGGACTTCACTGGCTGTGCTGTGCTTGGGCAGCCAGTGCTGTGCTTCTGAGAGAGCTGCACAACTGGATTGTGCCTGGGCTGTGAGGGACTGAGAGAAAGACAGCAGCAGAAATTGGGCTGCTGCGTTACATAACCACACTCTGTTGGTGTGCCCAAATCCTGCCTGGTGTCTGCTCTGGGGGTGTGGCACAGACTGAATTGGGTGTCTCTGGTGGGCTGGGTGCGGGTGGAACATTGCTATTGGGAAATGCGATGTCTTGATGCTCCCTGAAATGTGACTCTTGCATCTCATTTCTTCTTCTGGTGGACATTGTAGTGGCATATGGCAATAACATTTGCTTCCTTTATGCTCCTGTGTTATATAGAGTAATGGCTTCTGATGGGAGCAGTTTTATTTCAAGAAATATACAGGCATGTAAAATTGGCTGAAAATAAAAAAATGGCCACCTGTAAAAATATCTTTCAATAAAGGGAGGTGACCTGCTGCTCTTGGTGTTCCCAACTCCAAAGCAGGTCAGAAGCACCTACACCAAAAGACACTAATACACTTTGGGTAATACTTTGATTTGCCTTTCTTGAAACTTGTTTCAAGTTCCAGAAATAAAGGCTGAGCCGTGAGCTTTAAGGAAAAAAAGAAAATAACGATAACCCCCCAGAACTTTTCTGTACCTTTGGAAATAGAGAATAAGTTTCTATTAACTGCAAAGGAAACTTTTAGTTATTCTGACTATTGAAAACACTTTTCAAAAGTAGACCCTGAATCTTTGTAGAGGAAGAAACCTTAGAACAGCCTAATAATTCTGGTGTATTTTAAAAGTGACACTAAACCCACAGTCTTTACATTGTGAAGAACAGATGTCTGTTGTGTTTGAGTTATGGGAGTTGTAGGCCTTGTGGACAGAGTGCATGACTGCATTCTGCTCATCGTTACGGCTCCTGAGTCAGATAGCAGCAGTAGTTTCTCATGTTTGTAGACTAAATGTCTTCTTTTTGTTTGTAGATATGGCTCGTGGACAGCAGAAGATTCAGTCGCAGCAGAAAAATGCCAAAAAGCAAGCTGAGCAAAAAAAGAAACAAGGACATGATCAGAAGGCTGCAGCCAAGGCTGCCTTGATATATACCTGCACTGTCTGTAGGGTAAGAGGAACTGAAGTCAAAATAGTATTGTAGGGAGGTCTGTCTTCCAGCCTAGAGCAGAATTTTTAGAAGATTGTATAGTGGAAACTAAAATACTTAAAGTGGTTGTCAAGCTTGTAGCTATAAGAAGCATTTGCATCTGTTACGTGACTTGCTTACGAATTTAGCTGTACTGATAATTGAGATAGGAGAAAATCAGAGGGCATGTACAAGTCTGGTTTGGGTAGTTATTTTGCCTTTTGTATTGCAGTGGTCTGCTTGTGCTGTTAGTGTGAGATTGCTTCCTGTTCAGTCTCCAAATGGAAACATGATTTTTTGGTGATGGAATTGGCCCATCTTAGAATCACTTGTTACTGATGTTGATGCAGAGAGGGAAAGGGGTGGTGCCAAGAGCCTTAGTGTAAGTTTGATACACAGTAACTTTTGCTAGAAAAACTTACTTGACGAGAGAACAGAAATGCAAGCCCTAATCAGATTGTGCATTTCCTTCTGCCTGGTTTTCCTGAATGTGCTCATTTTGGAGCTGAAGGATAAACTTGCTGTTTTCATTTAAATGGTCAGTCCCAGAATAGATTTGTCACTTTAAATGTCTTAAATAAGTTTCCAAATTAAGGGTTGCTCCCTTAAATACTTGTGAAATCAGGCTGCAGCATCCATCACTTTGGACAGTGGATGCCTGCAGCTGTGTTGTAGCAAAGGTCTGAGATAACTTGTGCCAAGCAGGGAATCAGTTCATGCCATATAACTTTTTAGCCTAATGATAAACAAAAGAAGTAGCTTTCATAAAGATTTGGTTCTGAAAAGGATAAGCATTTAAGGTGTTAAAAAAGAAGATAGTAAGGAGATTTTCCACCAAACCAACATATGAAGTGTAAAATGTGCAGGGAGATACTCAGCAAGAATAGCACCATTGATGGACATGCCAAAACAGTGACAGTAGTGCTTAAAAGCACCTCTGAGAATAGGAGGTCAAATACTCTGTCCTACCCTGCAGCTAAATTAGTAGTGCTTGTGTCACTAGAGCAGTGTCATTGAGGAGACAGTTTGCTTCAGGGAAAAGAAAATAAAACATGGTGGGGAATAGGTTTTGTAGCATTATTTAACAGTTATACTGTGCATAAAGTTTAATGTCTCTCTTTAATCAGACTCAAATGCCGGATCCCAAGACCTTCAAACAGCACTTTGAAAGCAAGCATCCTAAGACTCCACTTCCTCCAGAATTGGCTGATGTTCAGGCGTAAAGTTGTCTCCAGGTCATTACCTTAATTTTTAATTGATTGTCTGAGAAAGCTGTATTATGAATCAGTTTTTTTACCACCAATAACTAGGTC